AAAAAAAAAAAAAGGAATATTTAATATATTACAGATGCCATATTGAAGTAACAAAAATTTAAAAAGAAGTTGCTCATTTTCTTATCCTGAAGTCAAATCATTTTCATTTATCCTTGCTACCGTCTGGTTCTTACTTGTGTACATATTCAATTTTTACATTTTCTGTTTTTATTATTTACTTATTATTTATTTATTTTTGAGACAGGGCCTCACTCTGTCACCCAGGCTGGAGTGCAGTGATGGGATCTTGGCTCACTGCAACCTCTGCCTTCCGGGTTCAAGCGATTCTCCAACCTCAGCCTCCTGAGTAGCTGGGATTATAGGTGTGTGCCACCACACCCAGCGAATTTTTGTATTTTTAGTAGAGACGGGGTTTCACCATGTTGACCAGGCTGGTCCTGAACTCCTGACCTCAAGTGATCCGCCTGCCTTGGCCTCCCAAAGTGCTGAGATTACAGGTGTGAGCCACCGTGCCCGGCCATCTAGCACATTCTTTAATAGCTGCAGTGATCTATCGTGTGTTGTGTCGGTGGTCTCCAAGACCACCCCTGGGCTCAGCGATTTGCTGGGAGGACTCACAGAACTCAGCATACAGTCGCACTTGCAGCTGTGGTTTGTTACAGCAGGACACAGAGCATCAGCAAAGGATACAGGCACATGTTGGAGTCCAGAGGAGAGCAGGGGTGAGCTCCAAACGGTCTCTCTCGGCCGGGAACAGTGGCTGGCACCTGTAATCCCAGCACTTTGGGAGACCAAGGCCGGCAAATAGCCTGAGGTCAGGAGTTCAAGACAAGCCTGGCCAACATGGTGAAACCCCATCTTTACCAAAAAAATACAAAAATTAGCTGTGCGTGGTGGTACACACCTATAATCCCAGCTAGTCAGAAGGTTGAGGTGGGAGAATCACTTGAATTCAGTAGGCAGAGGTTGCGATGAGCTGAGATTGCGCCGCTGTACTCCAGCCTGGGCGACAGAGCGAGACTGTGTCTCAAAAAAAAAAAGATCTCTTCATGGAGCCACACAGGGTGGGCTGAGTTCTTCCAGCAGTGAGTTGGAACCCCATACAGGAAGTGTGGTCCACTCGGGAGGAACTCAGTCCCCAAGAGTTGCTGAAGGCTAGTCCCATAAGCACCTTCTGGACAGCATGTTCCAAAATGCCGTACTCCCAGAAGAAACTCAGCGCTCAGCATCAACCGCATTGTATAAAACAATTCAGGCCCAGTATGAGCCACCTAATCAATTAGGGAACTTTGGGAACACTCCCCACATCCAGGCACCCATAGAATGTTTCAGGCCAACAGGCAGTCTTGCAAGCAGGCTTCTCAGTGGTTAGCAGTCTCAGGCCTGCTGTAGTAACTCTGTTCTGTACATGGAGACATCACAGTTTTTGCAGCCACTTCTTACTGATTGGCAGTTTCATCCTTTTGCAAGCATGAGGTGTCCTGGCTGAGCGCGGTGGCTCACGTCTATAATTCCAGCACTACGGGAGGCCGAGATGGGAGGATTGCTTGAGCCCACGAGTTTGAGGCCTGCCTGGGCAACAGAGCGAGACCCTGTCTCTACAAAATAAGAAATAAAAAATCCAGGCATGCTGGTGCATGCTTGTAGTCCCAGCTGCTCAGGAGGCTGAGGCGGGAGGATCGCTTAAGCCCAGGAGTTCAGGGCTGCACCACTGCACTGCAGCCTGGATGACAGAGAGAGATCCTGTCTCAAAAAAAAAAGGATGAGGTGTCCTGATCAGATACTGTGACACCTCTGAGTTCTGTCTATTACTGCGCATTTGCTTGGTGAGGAGGCCGAGGAGAGCACAGACCTTATCGAGGCTTGGTACGTCCAGGAGCGATGCTCTTTCCCCATCTCTTTGCAGTGTGTGAAGGCTCTGGTCTACTACGACGTGGAGTCGTGCAGGCTTGACATTGGCAACGAGAAAGGAGACACCCCTCTACACATTGCTGCCCGCTGGGGCTACCAAGGCGTCATGGAGACATTGCTGCAGAACGGAGCATCCACCGAGATCCAGAACAGACTAAAGGAGACGCCCCTCAAGTGTGCGTTAAACTCAAAGGTAGCTCTTCCCGTCTCTGAGCGGCGAGATGACTTTGAAAGAAGATCGATGTCCGTCGCTTAGGTCTTGGCCTCATAGACAAATGAGGCATTAGTGCCTGAGGGCAGAACTTGGCTTGCATCCTTTCTGCTGCATGTGGGACTTCATCGTTAATGGGTTTTACTGATGGATATTATTTTTGGTTTGAGTGGGCACTTTTCTCACGGTTGTTCCAGGAGCTGCTGCAGGCAGAGTTTGTTCTGGCTGCTGAGTGCTATTGATTTCTTGGCAAATGGAGTGGGTAGAAAGGAGGGTCCTCAGAGGCAGGAACTGGGGAGGGAGCAAGATGTGCTGGAACTCTGTTTCCCGGTGCTTCACCTTCAAAGCCTGGAATCTTTATTCTGACTCAGCTAGTTCTGGACATCATTGAGTATGGTTTCTTTCCTACATAATTTGTTAATGAACTCACTTTTTTCTGGTAGTAATTTCTGGAGACATAGTTTGGGGAGCATGTTGTGAAGTGCTCACCTCTCGCGCGTCAGCGGGGACTGGGGGTGGCTCACAGTGGCTCACAGAGGCCAGTTCTCTGCACTCTTGTCTCTCGGCAGCAGAGCTGGTGAATGGCGTTGTAAGGCAGGCATGTGGCAGACTGACCCGGGGAAGCACGGGTCCCTGTGAAATGGAGACCCCAGCTTGGGGGTCCCCTGAGGGATTCTGTTCCAATCCAGGTCTCTAGGGGAGCCCCCTTTGTACAGGCCTGACTTTCTACCTTTTTACAAAAACACTTAATTTTTTGTTGTTTTGAGATGGAGTCTCGCTCTGTCGCCCAGGCTGGAGCGCAGTGGCTCCCTGCAACCTCGGCTCACTGCAACCTCCACCTCCCAGGTTCTAGCGATTCTCCCGCCTCAGCCTCCCAAGTAGCTGGGATGACAGGTGCCTGCCACCATGCCTGGTTAATTCTTTGTATTTTTAGTAGAGACAAGGTTTCACCGTGTTGGCTAGGCTGGTCTCGAACTCCTGACCTCAGGTGATCCACCCACCTCGGCCTCCCAAAGTGCTGGGATTACAGGCGTGAGCCATTGCACTCAGCCCCAAAATATACGATTTTATAAAAGTAATAGAGATGAGATCTTAGTGTGTTGCCCAGGCTTGTGTTGAATTCCTGGCCTCAAGTGATCCTCTCGCCTCCACCTCCCAAGGTGCTGGCATTACAGGCATGAGCCACTGCGCCTGGCCAGCTTTCTGCCTTTTGATGTTTTACTGGCTCCCTTTTATAATTTCCAGCTTTTCTAGGTCGTTCTTTCAGTTTGTTCACATCTTATTCTGGGAGTAGCACAGTTTGAATTTGTTTTTATTTTTGTTTTCTCGAAACCTCTTTATTGAGGCATGATTGGCATACAGAAAGCTATATATAGTCAGTGTGTACAACTTGATAAGTTTAGAGATAAGTGGACATCCGTGAAACTATCACCACCATCTATGCCATAAACATATCCATCACCTCCAAAAGTTTACTTCTGTTCTCTTTTTTTTTTTTTTTTTTTTTGAGACAAGGTTTGGCTGTATTGCCCAAACTGGAGTACAGTGGTACGATCTCAGCTTACTGCAACCTCTACCTCCTGGGCTTAAGCCATCCTCCCACCTCAGCTCTCAAGTCGCTGGGACTACAGGCATGTGCCACCACACCTGGCTAATTTTTGGATTTTTTATACAGATGGAGTTTCACCGTGTTGGCAAGGCTGGTCTCAAACTCCTGTCTTCAAGTGATCTGCCTGCCTTGACCTCCTGAAGTGCTGGGATTACAGGTGTGAGCCACCGCCCCTGGGCTTTCATCTTTCTTTTTAATTTTTATTTTATTTTATTTTTTTGAGACGGAGTCTCACTCTGTCACTCAGGCTGGAGTACAGTGGCATGATCTTGGCTTACTGCAACCTCCGCCTCCCGAGTTCAAGTGATTCTTCTGCCTCAGCCTCCCTTGTAACTGGAAGGTACAGGTGTGCATCACCACGCCCAGCTACTTTTTTTTTTTTTTTTTGTATTTTTAGTAGAGACGGGGTTTCATCATGTTGGCCAGGCTGTTCTTGAACGGCTGACCTCAAGTGATCTGCCCGCCCCGGCCTCCCAAAGTGCTGGGATGACAGATGTGGACCATCTCACCATCTCGCCCAGCTTCCCTCTTTTTTTTTTTTTTTTTAATTATGTTTTTGGTGTGTGGTAGGGACACAGTGTAAGATCTACAGTAAAGCACCGTTTGTGAAGGGTTAGATCCCTGCTTCTGGCTTCAGGGGCCTCGGCTGTACCCCTGAATACCTTTCTGCAAAGGTCGCAGCTTTCTGACAGGCAGAGCTGACTGGGCTGAGCAGTGCCACCACGGCCTGGGCTACTGCGACGCCTTGGGAGGAGGGTTCTACTGCTGTGGTATTTGTTTACCAGAGGCCCTTTCAGAGGGAGATCTGCAGAGGAAAGGAGAGGCCGCCTTCTCGGCTTGGCTCTGAGCTGCTCCTGCTTGAGACCTGTGGGTGCTGGAGGAAAGGCCACACCTCCTGCCTGTGGACAGACAGGCCTGGGGGCTGGATGCAGTCACCTGTCAGGCTCCATGCGGGTCTGGCTTCTCTTACCCTTGAGTCTATGCATGGGAAGCCCTGAGTCCTCCCACGGGGCAGGAGGAGCCGTGATGGGAGGAAGCGCCGACTTTGGTGTGATCCTATGTAAATTGCCATCTGCTCTGGGTCTGGGTTTCTCTGACCATCCAAGGATGCGGCTGGGCCACATGACCTAAGGCTCACTGCACTGACATTCTGAGGAGCTAGGCCGGCAGTGGGGCGTGTGGGTGATGGGGCTGTGCTGAGACGACCTCCATCTCATTGGGTACTGTTGGCATCCCCTCTGTCCCCCTAGATTCTATCTATAATGGAAGCCCATCACCTGTCCTTCGAGAGGAGGCAGAAGGCATCCGAGGTAAGTCAGCCGGGCGGAGCGAGTTGGTTACCTCGGAGACCAAGGGCTCCTTCTCCGGTCCTCACGTGACCCTGTGCCCTGTCTTCTCTCTCGTCGGGGCTCCCTGGCTACAGGCCCCCGTGCAGTCCCCGCAGCGCTCCGTGGACTCCATCAGCCAAGAGTCCTCTACTTCCAGCTTCTCCTCCATGTCAGCCGGCTCAAGGCAGGAGGAGACCAAGAAGGACTATAGAGAGGTGAGGCTTCCAGAGGGAGGACGGGGTTGGGGAGGCCTTGGCGGCCCCAGGCGGTGGCGTTCAGCTGAAGAGCCGTGGCCTGATGAGGGCTGCCCTCTCAGCCTGCTCGCCTGTGCTGGGGCTGCTGCTGCTCTGTGGTGGCTGAGGTTGGTGCCTTCGAGCTAGGCCCGGCGGCATCTCGCAGTGCTGTGCACTTCGGCGTGCCCTTCCGTGGGCTGCTCCCTGAGCAGCAATTAGTGTGGCAGAGTGTGTTTGTGTATTAGAGAGAGGATAGGCTAAGAAAAATACAGGTCAGGTCATGTAGAGGTCCACTGATTTCAGATCATTTTATTTTTATTTTTAATTTTTTGAGATAGAGTCTTGCTCTGTCTCCCAGGCTGGAGTGCAGTGGTGCGATCTCGGCTCACTGCCACCTCTACCTCCAAGGTTCAAGCAATTCTCCTGCCTCAGCCTTCCAAGTAGCTGGGATTACAGGGGTGTGCCACCATACCCAGCGGATTTTTTTGTAGTTTTAGTAGAGATGGGGTTTCACCATGTTGGCCAGGCTGATCTTAAACTCCTGACCTCAGGTCTCCCAAAGTGTTGCGTTTACAGGCATAAGCCACTGCACCTGGCCTGTTTTTATTTTTCATTTTTATTTTTACTTTTTTGTGACAGAGTCTTGCTGTGTCGCCCAGGCTGGAGTGTAGTGGCGCAATCTTGGCTCACTGCAACCTCCACCTACTGGGTTCAAGTAATTCTCCTGCTGCAGCCTCCCAAGTAGCTGGGATTACAGGTGCCTGCCACCATGTCCAGCTAATTTTTTTGTATTTTTAGTAGAGATAGGGTTTCACCACGTTGGCCAGGCTGATTTTGAACTCCTGACCTCAAGTGATCCGCCCACCTGGGCCTCCCAAAGTGCAGGGATTATAGGCATGAGTCACCGTGCCCAGTCTGATTTCAGATCATTTTGGAAAGTGTCTGCATAGCATTCTCTGCCTTCCATTCCCGCTCTACAGGCACCTCTGTTGAGAACCTAATGTCGTTGTTCCTGAGTTCTTGCAAAGTTCACGTAGACATTCACACACATGTCCACCTTGCAGTTTGCAGAAGTTCATTGATGGCCTTTGTTTTTCTTTTTCTTTTTTCCACTTAAATTACTTTAGAGTTTGTTCAGTGTCAGCACAATAGATTTGCCTCATTCTTTTCTTTTTTTGCGACCTAATCTTGCTCCGTCACCTAGGCTGGAGTGCGGTGGTGTGATTTTGGCTCACTGCACCCTCCACCTCCTGGGTTCAAGCAATTCTTGGGTCTCTGTGTCCTGAGTAGCAGGGATTACAGGCACCCGCCACCATGCCTGGCTAATTTTTGTATTTTTTTTTTTTTTAGTAGAGATGGGGTTTCACCATGCTGGCCAGGTTGGTCATGAACTCCTGACCTCAGGTGATCTGCCCACCTCGGCCTCCCAAAGTGCTGGGATTACAGGCGTGAGCCACCGTACCTGGCTAGTTCTGCCTCATTCTTTAGCTGAGAAGTGGACTGTTGAATGGATGTACCACCTTTGATGGCCCCCGCCATGGGTGCTGAACCCTCATGGACCCTACCATAGTGTCCCACTACCCGCAAGCTGTGACATGCTCTTGGAGGACCAAGTAAGCTTAGCTCCGTGCAGAACCACAGCAGAGAAAGCCACGAGACATGGTCCAAAGTCTAACGGAGACCTGAAGTTGTCCCTGGGAGGGGTGTCCACCCTCATGGTGCCCAGCTAGCAGATATTGAGAGTTGAGTTCAGTATTTCTTTTTTCTTTTTTTTTGAGACAGGGTCTCACTGTGTCACCCAGGCTGGAGTGCAGTGGTACAGTCATAGCTCCCTGCAACCTCAGACTCCTAGGGATAGCCTCCAAAGCGCTGGGATTACAGGCAGAGCCACTGCACTTAGCTAAGTGTATTTTTCTAAATCATAGAGGTGGCTGGCGTCTTAGGAAGGACTTGTTCTCCAAGGCGACCATGGCCTCACCTTTCCACGTGGATAAAGTTACAGTTTATATTCCCTAAATGGCAGTGGGTTCTATGCACACCAGCAACTTCCTAGGATACCCTCTCTGAGCAGTTTTAGGGACACGTTTACAAGATACTAAATCAGCCGGGCATGGTGGCTCACGCCTGTAATCCCAGCACTTTGGGAGGCCGAGATGGGCGGATCACCTGAGGTTGGGAGTTCGAGACCAGCCTGGCCAACATGGAGAAACCCTGTCTCTACTAAAAATACAAAAAAAAATTAGCTGGGCATGGTGGCGAGCACCTGTAATCCCAGCTACTAGGGAGGCTGAGGCGGGAGAATCGCTTGAACCTGGGCGGCGGAGGTTGTGGTGAACCAAGATGGCACCATTGCACTCCAGCCTGAGCAACAGAGCAAGACTCCGTCTCAAAAATAAAAAAAAAAAAAAAAAAGATACTAAGTCAGACATTAAAACTCTACAAATCAAGCCAATAGGTTTTCAGAATGTTTATATTATTTTTATTATTATTTTATTACTGAAATCATTTTTCTAACATTTTTGTTCCTTTTATTAAGGTAGAAAAACTTTTAAGAGCAGTTGCTGATGGAGATCTAGAAATGGTGAGTTTTTAGAAGTGCCTTTTCTTTTATTTTTATTTTTTAGAGACAGGGTCTTCTTCTGTCACCCAGGCTGGAATGCAGTGGCGTGATCATGGCTCACTGCAGCCTTGAACTCCTGGACTCAAGCGATCCTCTTGCCCCAGCCTCTTCACAGTTGTGCGTGGCCATGCCTGGCTAATCATAAACAAATTTTTTGTAGAGATAGGGTCTCGCTGTATTGCCCAGCCTGATCTTGAACTCTGGGCCTCAAGGGATTCTCCTGCCTTAGCCTCCCAAAGTGCTTGGATTACACGTGTGAGCCACCATGCCCAGCTTTAGAAGTGCTTTTTATTATAAAAAGCTTGTTCTAGCTTAAAACAGCCACCCATCTGTGTTTCTTGTCTCCAGTTCAGTTTTGGGCCACGTGGACCCTCTGATTTTGTGCAGAGGGCGGTATGTTTAATGCATATTTGGTAATGGCAATGTTATATTTTCCCGACAAGTAATGAGGCGGATGAACATTCAGGCACATAGCAAACGTGGGCCCTGCCTTTCGGACGTCCGTATTCCAGGAGTGTGGTGAGACGTTACCAAGACCAGAGACCATGTCCGGGGCACAGAGTGTGGGCTCAGAGCCCAGGCCCACTAGCCAGTGTGCAAGGAGGGCAGCTCGGTTTTAAGGGAGGGCAGCGTTTTGGGGAGAGGAGGAAATAGAGAGGCGAGGGCAGAGCCCAGTGGTGTTTGTGAGCCTCTGCAGAAGCTGTGGTCGGCTGGGACTCCTGGGCCGCGGGAGGGGGCCTGAGGCTTGGGGCTCCAAGGAGTCATAAGCAGGTGTCTGGATAAGATGGGGCCGCCGGCCCTGGGCTGGCACCTGGAGAGAATGTCGTGGCTTGAAGGGAAGGCGTCTGTCCTATCATTAGGCACATCTGACAGTGAAATGAGTGGACAGTGGAGATAGCCTTCCTTAGATTCTGAGGGACAGGTTTCCCTCACTTGCCTTTGGCCCCTTGAAAGGACTGTGTGTTCCACTTTTTTTTGTTGTTGTTTTTTTGAGACAGAGTCTTGCTCTGTCATCCAGGAGTGCAGTGGCATGATCTCAGCTCACTGCAACCTCCACCTCCTGGGTTCAAGCAATTCTCCTGCTTCAGCCTCCGGAAAAGGTGGGACTACAGGCACGCACCACCACACCCGGCTAATTTTTGTATTTTTAGCAGAGACGGGGTTTCACCGTGTTGGCCAGGCTGGGCTTGAACTCCTGACCTCAGGTGATCTGCCCGCCTAGGCCTCCCAAAGTGCTGTGATTACAGGCATGAGCCACCATGCCTGGCTGTATCTTCCACTTTTAATGGAGGAGGGAGTGAGGTGCTTACTGAATGCCCTAGGACCAGGGTGGGTTTATTTTTTTTGAGACTGTCTTGCTCTGTTGCCCAGGCTGGAGTGCTGTGGTGTAATCATGGCTCACTGTAGCCTTGAACTCCTGGGCTCAGGCGATTCTCCGGCCACTGCCTCCCAGAATGCTGGGATTACATGTATAAGCCACTGCGCCCACCCCTAGGATAGAGTTTTAAAGCCATCACCCTGAGGCAGCACCGATCTGCCTGCCCGTTTTTATGATAGAAGAAAAGAATCTCTGACATAAGTTGTGAAGTGGAAGGACTGAGGAAGGCTTCATGAGGGAGCAGAAGCCGGTTATAAATGGCTGTGGGGTTGGGGAAGGAAGTGTGGGCCCTGATTGGGAACGGTTGACCGTGTGTGTTTAAGATACTGCGCAGCGACAACGCTGAGGATGTGTTCCTGTTTCCCTTACTCTCCATCACCAGGTGCGTTACCTATTGGAGTGGACAGAGGAGGACCTGGAGGATGCGGAGGACACTGTCAGTGCAGCAGACCTCGAATTCTGTCACCCCTTGTGCCAGTGCCCCAAGTGTGCCCCAGCTCAGAAGGTTCGGCTTTGTTTCTATTGGTGGAGGTCAGGGAATGTAGGCAATTTTTTTTTTTTTTTTTTGAGACAGGGTCTTGTTCTGTCACCCAGGCTGGAGTGCAGTGGTACAGTCATGGCCCACTGCAACCTCAATCGCCTGGGCTCAAGTGATCCTCCCACCTCAGTCTCCTGACAAGTTTGGACCACAGGCCTGCACCACTACACTTGGCTAATTCGTTTCTTTTTGTAGAGACCCGGCCTTTCTGTGTTGCCCAGGCTGGTCTCGACCTCCCAGGCTCAAGCGATCCTCCTGCCTCAGCCTCCCAAGGTGCTGGGATTACAGATGTGAGCCACTGCTCCTGGCCAGCAAATTCTTCCTTTTTCCCTCAGGAAAGTTCTCTGTTTCTCAGCCAGATAATTACTGTGCTGCATGGCTGTGAATAAGTATTCCCCAAGATATGGTGGGACTCATTAGCCCAGGGCGGCTGCCAGCTTCCTGTGCAACAGGTAAGTGAGCAGGGATGTGTCCCCGCGATGAGCATTTTGGCTGCTATCTGGGCCCCTGAGTCCCGTGGCAGGAGCTTATGAACAGATGCTCGAGGGTCTCCTTTTAGGTACGTAAAGCCCTCCAGGGAAGCTGCACGCATGTTCTGCTGCTGCTTTTACTCGGGTGAGTTCAGTCTTTGTGGGGACTCTCCCCCAAGTGCGGAGGAATCTCCAGACCCTCTCCCAGCTTCCCCCAGGGGTAACATCCTTGCAAAACTATGATGCAGAATCACAGCCAGGATATCGACATTGATGCAATCTGTGGACCTTAGTTCAGATTTCCCCAGTTCTACTTGTTCTCAGTGTGTGTGTGTGTGTGTGTGTGTGTGTGTGTGTGTGTGTATTTAGTTCTGTACAGTTGTGCTACATGTGTAGGTTTATGTATCCACCATCACATTCAAAATACTTTCTGTGGCAGAAGATACTTTTTTATACTCATTGTTCTTTTTTTTTTCAAGATAGAGTCTCGCTCTGTTGCTCTGTTGCCCAGGCTGGAGTGCAATGGGGCAATCTCGGCTCACTGCAACCTCTGCCTCCCAGGTTCAAGCCATTCTCCTGCCTCAGCCTCCCAAGTTGCTGGGCCTACAGCACCTACCACCACGCCCGGCTGATTTTTGTATTTTTAGTAGAGACGGAGTTTCACCATGTTGGCCAGGCTGGTCTCAAACTCCTGACCTCAAGTGATCCACCCACCTCAGCCTCCCAAAGTACTGGGATTACAGGTGTGAGCCACCGCACCCGGCCTCCTTGTTCTTTTACAGCCTCTTATTCTTGTTTTGTAATGTCCCCAAAAGACACAACACTAAACTGCTTTATATCTGTGATTAAATTAAAACCCACCCCGCCATTCTTTTCTAGCCAGTGTTTTAGAATTGGTTTTTAAATGCTTTATTGAAGTATAATTCACAGACAGTAAAGTCTATGTATTTATACAATTTGGTGAACTTTTACAGATGTAAAACCTGTGAAGCCATCACCCCCATCAAGACACAGCATGTCTCCGTCACCTGCAAGCACATTTCTCTCATCACAAGACCAATCACTCAAGCTGCCCTCTGACAGCCACACCCACCTCTCTACCTGCCACGCCCACCCCACCATCCCCAACCCCTGGCAACCACTCACCTGTTCTCCGTTTCTCTGATCCTGTCACTTCAAAAACGTTACATGAATGTAATGACACAGTATACGTATGACCTTTTGGAATTGACTTTTGATTCCACGTTGTTGCATAGAATCAGGTCTGTTTCTCCGTCGCGGGATGGCATTCCATTTGTTTAATGGTGGCATATACTCACTGTGGAATGTCCAAGGACACGTATTTTGTTCCTGGTTTGGGGAATGTTATCAATAAAACTGCCATGAACAAACATTCGAGTAGACGTTTCGGTAAGAACACAAGTTTTCATTTTTCTAGGATAAATGCCTGAGAGTGCAATTGCGGAGTCACGTGGTAATTGCACGGTAATTCCATGGTTCGTTTTTATAAGGAACTGACCGTCTTTTCCCAAGCAGGCTGTATGGTTTTACATGCCCACCAGCGATGTATGAGTGATCCAGTTTCTCCTCATCCTCCCCAGCCTTGGGCGTGGTCATTGTTCTCTGTTTCAGCCATTCAGATAGGTGTGTAGTACTATCTCAATGTGACTTTAATTTGCATTTCTCTAATGGCTGATGCTGTTGAACAGCTTTTCATGTGCTTATTTGCCATCTGTATATGTTCTTCAGTGAAATGTCTGTTAATGTGTTTTGCCCGTTTTCTCATTGGTTTGTTTTTGGCTTTATTGTTGAATTTTGAGAGTTCTTTATCTATTCTAGATGTGTGGATATTTGTCAGATACGTGGTTTGCAGACATTTCCTTTCAGTGTGTAGCTTGTCTATAATCTCACGTGGGCTTTCACAGAGAAAAAGGTTTTTCTACATCTAGTTTGTCAATATTTCCTTTTATAGATGATACTTTTGGTATCAAGTCTGATAATTCTTTGCCTTGCTCTAGATTTCCAACTTTTTCCTGTTTTTTTTTTAAGTTATACTTTTATATTTTATAGTGAAGTCCGTGATCCAATTTGTGTTAATTTTTACTCAAATTGTGAGATTTAGGTTGAGGTTCTTCTTTTTTTTTCTTGCCTACAAATGTCCACTTGCTCCAGCACCATTTGTTGAAAAGCCTCTCCTTCCTCCCGTGACTTGCCTGTGCACCTCGGTTGGCTATAGATTGTGTGGATCGATCTCTGGGTTCTCTGTTCTGCTACATTGATCTATGGGCCCATCCTACCAGTACCGTGCTGTCTTGATGACTGTAGCTATGTAGTAAGCCTCAGTGCTGGATTAAATGATTCTTCCTAATTTATTATTCTTTGCCAGGAATGTTTTGGCTGTTCTATGGCCTATGCCTTTCCATGTAAATTTTATTTATTTATTTATTTACCTGCTTACTTACTTCCTCACTCTTGTAATACCCAGACTGGTCTGAGCCATATCAATTTTAGAATTAGCTTTTGTATGTCTACAAAATACCTTGCTCAGATTTTGATAGGAATTACATTAAACCTACAGATGAACTGGGGAGAAATAACATCATCTGACTCAACGTATGTTGAGTCTTCATGAACGTGGTATATCTCTCCAAGTATTTACGCCTTCTTTGACTTCTTTCATCAACATTTTGTCATTTTTTTTTTCAGCATACAGATCCTGCCTGTGTCATGTTAAGTGTACATCTCAGTATTTAATATTCTTTCAAGCAGTTGTAAATGGTATTGCATACATAGCATGCACTCATGTGTTAGCTATCTAATTATAGATGTGTATGTCCCATACTAAGAGAATTAGGCTGGGCTCAGTGTCATACTCCTGTAATCCCAACACTTTGGGAGGCCACCCTGGAGGATCACTTGAGGCCTGGAGTTTGAGACCAGCCTGGCCAACAGAGTAAGACCCTGTCTCTAAAAAACTAAAAATATAAAATATAAAAGAAAAAAGAAAATGAATTTGGCCAGGCACGGTGGCTCACACCTGTAATCTCAGCACTTTGGGAGGCCGAGGCAGGTGGATCACCTGAGGTCAGGAGTTCGAGACCAGCCT